GCCTTTAGCATATTTAATGCCATCACACCTGGAAGTATTTTAACTTATATTTCCAATGAGGTCTACCTGGAGTTGTTGAAGAAAGGGTTAATTCCCAAATGGGCCAGTTTTCCAAATAAGGGTGCATTAAAATGGAAACTCCGCCATCCAGTGAAGCCACAACTGAGGTGCCATTCAGTGGGACTTGGGATCCACCCAGGGTGCTACGCTCAGATTTCCCCTTCAGGCTATTTCTGCCTTCACGCTCACCCAGCGCAAACAGGGGGCTAGTAAGAGAAAGACAGAGCAAGATGCTTTCAAACACTTTGCAGCACACAAAGATGTCTGTTACATCCCTCGCAACAGCAAACAATGAAAAAGCCACCTGAACATCTGCAAGAATACTGGCCGAATGTGCCATGCTGTTCCCAGTTAAATCTCTAGGAGATAAGGGAAATACAAACATGCTGATAGGTCCGGGAGACTTGAACAGGCACTTTGGGGAGACAGCTGCAGAACGCTGTGCACAATAAAACCTGAAGCATGTATCACTTCTAAAAGTCTGGAAGGACGTATATAAAACATAGTCAACAGGGTTACCGAGGGAGGAAGGTGAGGGGGGTCAGTGTGAGGGAGGGAAGAGGTTTGTTTAGCTCCATTTGCTACTTAGATTGTCATATACTTTCCTGCAGACACACACGCATGCATTATTTGTGTGATACTAGAAAGCAAAAAGCTCTACCGTTGTGCCCTGAGAAAGGAGTTTCTCCTCTTCCTCCTTATCACTAAAGTCCTAATAGGAGAAGCAGGATGACCTCCGATGAGTCAGTGAGGACTACCTGAGGTCAGGGTGGGGACCGGCAGGCAAACTGAAGAGGCTGCCCGGGAGAGTCCTCGTCGCCCGTCAACCCCTCACCTACCTGACTGCCAGCCCTGGTAATGCGGGCAGATTTTTAAAGTTAACTGGGCATGGACTAGGTAGAATGGAAACACATTTCTTCCCACTCACAGCATGTCCTCCATGGGGCCTCCACCTATGTGATCTTGACGCCCCACCTCGCCTGACCCCCTTATCTGGGCCATCAGCCTGCTCAGACAGCACAGAAGTGTCCGTGCCTGGTGGGTGCACTGCCTTAACTCCAGGGTTCAGAAGCAGGAAAGCAGCACTTTTCCTGGATACCTAACTCCCTAGATGGACCTCTGACGAAGGTACGGAAGTGTTCATGTGCTGGAGACGTACATCTCTTACGATAACCACTTGTCATGCTTAGAAAGAATGTCTCCTATTCAGACCACCCGGCGTCCGTTACCCAGAGCGCTGGCCATCTGGAAGATCACCGTCCTGAGCCGAGCGTGGGCTCAGAAGGCAGGGCTGACTTTTCTCAAATGTGTGTTTTACTATTAAAACTCTCGACTTTTCTTTCTCCTTTCGAACACTATGGGTATTCTCTAGTTGTGTTTTCAATTTGCAAATCCTAAGACCCTTGAATAAAACGTCATTTTTAATTAAAGAAAAAAAGGAAAACCACCTGCCTACAATAAAACCCATATTCTCCAATATAAGCTTTGTAAGTATCTATTTATTTATTTATTTATTTTATATATATATATATATATATATATTTTTTTTTTTATCCTTACCCGAGGACATTTTTCCATTTTTTGTTCAGATAGAGCGGGAGGGAGACAGAGAGGAAGAGAGAGAGAGAGAAACATCGACGTGAAGGGACACATCGAGTGGCTGCCACCCGCACGACCAACCAGAGCCGGGGACAAACTGCAACCGAGGTACGTGCCCTTAGCGGGAACCGAACCTGGGTCTCTCTGTACTGCAGGCCGACGCTCCAACCGCTGAGCCAAACTGGCCAGGGCAAGCTTTGTAAGTATTAACAAGGATGTTTTCAGCTACTTTCCCCCTTATTCTTTTGTCCTATTTTTCAACCGATCAGAACTCAGTGGGGAAGCAGGGTGCTGTCTTGAGCCCTTTTGAATTCTCAACAGTGAAGGAAGTTGTAGAAAGCCAGATTTTTAACAGCCAGATGTAGAAATCAGTGTAAAATGTACTAAACTTTATAGATACAGTAGTTTCCCGATGGGCCTCAGCCAAGCCCACTTCCAGCGCTCAAAGTGGACACTCACGGTCACCAGAGCGCCCAAGGACATGCTGACAGAGCCCACGCTGGCAACGAAGCTGCTCTGTACCCAACGATTGATCTCGACACTGATTAACCTGTTTGGATGGAGAGTAGAATTTATTCCCTAAGAAATAGGATTCTCCTTCCGAATCCTACATCCTATCAGTTTAGTCACTAGACACCCCATCTCAACTGTATCCCAAGTTCCTCTTCGTACACTATAAATCTGATCCCATACACCCATCGACTTTCACCACGCCTAGTCAACTACAATATACTTTTATACTTTCACCATGACTCATATCCACCTTTTATCATCTGGTAGAGAAGTATACTGGGAACAAAAGATTATTTGCAGCTTTTATTGCCTGTTCCTAAATTAATGGCTCAGTAAAGAGAAAACGGTTACGTGCCCAGGTAAACAGAGCTCTTCCTCTCCCTGTTCCTGAGCTGAGATCTACCTTCCTGGCTCCGTGACAGGGAAGGCGGCGCGACCCGCTCTGGACAACGTCAGCTGCTAACAGGATAAAATGTCAGCTATGCCGGACCCCTCTCCCTTTAAACTGCTCATTAACATGACAGCCGTTTAAAATAAACCAGGAAACAGAAATACAGACATTCCTGTACATGCAAGAGAGGGTGGGATTTTGTAACACAACCTGGAATTAATAAATACACGGACGGCAGGGAAGGAGCGGTCCTCTTCGCCTCTGCTGGCTCATTCCTGCCGAACCACCAGCACTTTCGGTGAACCCTCTGCTCCGTGACCGACTGCGCACACGTATGCAGAAGTCACTCGGCCAGGCCTCGGGGGTGTGGCTTGAAGCCCCTCGCCCTGGAGGGCGCACGAGGAGGTTCCTTTTCTGAAACCCAGAAGTCTCTGTGTGTCTTGCTGACATTTTTTAAAATGGCTGATTCTCTAAGCTTTGTACACGCTGAAATCCCCGTGGCCACACCACGAAGGACAGACCCTGCAGCTTCGAATACCATGCGTCCACGCGAGGCGCAGCCCACACAACCAATGCTACTTCTGCGTGCACCTCGACATGTCACGGGCGTCTGCCCTCTGCCATGTTACCACGTCCTTTCTGTGGGACCCACGAGAGCAACTACCCTCAGGTCTTGGCACCGGAATAACCTCATGAAGCAGTTGTTTGACCTCTCGTCTTGTCTAAAACTTGTTTTTAAATCGTAATAGTAACACACCTCCTTGGAACAAGTTCACGGTGTCCAGGGCACATGAAGAACCTCGTGACACTGAAATGGCCCATCTTGGGCGGGCATTCGCTTCACTGCTGTGCTTTCTAGGTTGCACGTGCAGCACAGATGCTTAAAGGCAGCATCTGTCACGTAATAAGTATTCCAGAACTTTTTCTCTTCCTTTGGAAGTCAATCATGAAACTGCTCACATGTCCCTTTCTGCACCAGCTGCTGGAAAGCTCAGAACCAAATCTCTGCCTGTCTCTCCAGGTGCCAGTGACTTATGACATGTATTTTTGTACTAGCCTTATGGCCTACTTCTATTATTCCTACCCTTAGTTTCCTTTAACCACAATTTCTTTTGTCCCCAGTGTTATGAGACACTGACATATGACACTGTGTAAATTTCAGGGGTGCACAGTTACCTAATACATGGACACATTGTGAAATGGTTACACTGCAAGGTCAGTGCACACATCCATCATCTCCCAGTCACCTTTTACTTCTTGTGGTGACAAGATTTAAGATCAGCTCTCAGAAATGTTCACGTACACAATACAACACTGTGGACTATAGTTACCATGCCGTACTTCAGATCCCCAGAACTTACTCATCTTAAAATCAGTTCTTACGCTTTGACGAACATTTCCCCATTTTCTCCACCCCATCAGCCTCTGGAAACCATTAATCTACTTTCTGTTCCTATGAGTTCAACCACAATTTCTTTACTTTTATTTTCTATTTTTTCATTTTTCATATTTGTGTTTTCTCTTTGAGAATGAGGTAGGGCATAAATTATTTTTTAACACTACAAGAGGCCCTGATATTTTTACGAAGACCCTACTATTAATGTGCAAACCCTTCACTAGAAGTCGTGCTCTGAGCCGTGGGGTGCCTCCGGGTCCCTGGCACTTCCTTCCTAATCTAACGCTCCTGGCTGCCCACGCTCGGCCTCTGCACCAGGCTGCAGACTGGGGTGAGCTCCGGGGACGTGGGTTCCTGAACTTTGGACAAGCCCTGAGCCCCTGGGGCACTTCCTCTCCTGGGTAGGAGCCCAGCTCAACAGCACACGCCTCCACTTGAGCTCGCCTGAGAGGACACATCACCTACGTAACACAAGACAATAATCCCGTTAAGAACTACCTCTGCAGGAAGAATTTAGGAATAGAGGGCCATAGTACATGCAGTTTGTCCTTAAATGGTTCAGAAAACAGATTGTGTGGGGGTAGAGAGGAAGTAAACAGATGAAAGGATAAAGCTGCCAGCCGGCTGAATCTGGGTGAAGGGTATACAAAGTGTCCTTTGTGCTGTTTTTGCAACTTTTCTGAGTTTGCAACTATTCCAAGTAAAAAGTTAAAAAAGAAAAAAAAGGCAGCCCCTGCCCTAACCAATATAACTCCCACTATTTAAAAAAGAAAATCAAGTTTCCTTCATTTCCTATGGATTTGCTCACCGGTACCAGCACTTGGCACCCACAAGCAGCCACGGTGGGCAGAGAACCCGCCCCTGCCCCCAGGAGGCCCTCTTCCAACTGCTCACTCGTTTGAAACAGCTTTCTTTTCCCTCTGGGAATTTACAGACCTCCAAAGTCAGCTGAGGTGCAGATTTTTGATGTCATTTTCTCCTGTTCTTTCAGTTTTTCAGTTATGTTATGGGGGGGGCGACCAGGGAGGGGCAGCGCCTCACCGTCCCGGGCCTCGTGAAGTCCACGCTGTGCGCCAGGCTCTGCCGCATCTGGTTGCTGAAGAGGCGGACGCAGACGCTCTGCAGGTACTCGGGAGTGATCTGCAAAGGGACACGAGTGTGGCGGGTGGGAGGACGAGACGTGCCGGACCGCGGAGGCGCCCCACAGCGTCTCTCCCGCTGCAAGGGCCCAGGAGCACGTTGGCTTTAACGCAGGAGCTCTTGGGAGTTAAAGCACCCCAACGGCCTTCTAAATGTCAAAAGCGCAGGACACTTTTCAGTTGGTCTGCTATGGCTTTGAGACCCTGGGTCAACCCTTTGCCCCGACACTGCTTCCTCCCTGGACTCCTGGAACCACCTCTCAAACAAGTGAGCTTGACTTTGTCATTTTCTAGCTTAGAACAGGTGAATGAGGAAAGCACACATGAATAAAGGACTGGCTGAAAAACAAAATATAAATGGCAACAAACACATGAAAATATACCCAGCCTCCTACATAACTCAGGAAATGTAAATGGAAACATTCAGAATACATACTAAGTTTTGCTTACCAAACTGGCAAAGGTTTCAAGGTATAATCATGTCTGTGTTAGCAAGGGTGTGGAGGGACAGACACCTGGCTACACTGCTGCAGGTAGGCAGCCATTGCTGAAATCTTAGGAGAGATGATCTGGTGAATCTGTCAGTGCCCACAACCTCTGACCCAGCGAGTCCACTCTGAGGACCCTTATTCAAAAGTATATAGTAGAGCCCTGGCCGGTTTGGCTCAGTGGTTGAGCGTCGGCCTGCAGCCCAATTGAGTCATGGGTCGGATTCTGGTCAAGGGCATGTACCTCAGTTGTGGTTCATCCCCAGCCCTGGTCAGGGTCATGCAGGAGGCAACCAGTCGATGTGTCCCTCTCACAGCCATGTTTCTCTCTCCCTCCCTCCCACTCTATCTGAAGATAAATAGAAAAATATCCTCGGGTGAGGGTTAAAGAAAAAGTACACAGTAGATACAAGACTGTTCGCAACAACAGTTTTTGTTCAATAAACAAAAAACCCAAATGCTCATTCATCAGAGCTGACGAATTACTGTTCGCCTTACAATGGAATAATGCACAAGCATTACAAAGAATGCGGTAGGTGGGGAAGATCTCCAAGACATATCAAAAGTGAAACGGCAAGTTCCAGAGAGGTAATGGGTCACAGGACCCCAGGTCAGTACACGCACGCTGCATGCATGTGGGTTTGTGGGTGCACCCACATGCTTGCGCACGCGCGCACACACACACACACACACATGCACACACAGAAATGTTCCGAACTAACACGTGAGAACATGTTAATCCTGAGTACCAAGAAGTGAGACTCAGGCACTGTGTGGGTGGGGCTGCCCTGCCCTGGCCCCGCATCTCTCCCTGCCTTGGACCTGCGGCCCCTCACCCGCCGCCTGCTGGTCTTCGGGCCCCCGCCGGACCCGCCGCAGTAGTGAGCACGCCCGTGTCTGGGCAGCACGCCACGTCTGGCTGTGAGAGGCGCACCAGGAGGGTGGCAGTTATGTTTTAATAACTACATAACTTTTTTCTGTTGCCAATTTATTCTTTGCTAACACTCAGAATCAGGTAGAAAAAAAAGACACGAGAGATCATGTGTCAGGGAAAATGTATAAAATAGCCCTGGCCAGTTTGGCTCAGCGGTTAGAGCGTCGGCCTGCGGTCCGCAGAGACCCGGGTTCGGTTCCCGCTAAGGGCATGTACTTCGGTTGCAGTTTGTCCCCGGCCCTGGTTGGTCGTGCGGGTGGCAGCCACTCGATGTGTCCCTTCACATCGATGTTTCTCTCTCTCTCCCTTCCTCTCTCTCCCTCCCACTCTATCTGTACAAAAAATGGAAAAATGTCCTCGGGTGAGGATAAAAAAAAGAAAATGTATAAAATACTTTAAGCAGCCCAGCCAGTGTGGCTCAGTGGACTGAGAGGTCCCGGTTTGATTCCAGTCAGGGCACATGCTCAGGTTTGGGGCTTGACCCCCAGTAGGGGGCGTGCAGGAGACAGCCAATTGATGTATCTCTCACATCGATATGCCTATCTCTTTCTCTAAAAAAATAAATGAATAAATAAAAACATATTTAAAAAACAAAAACTGCAAGCAGCATGTGTGCATGTTGGCTTTGGGAAACAGAGGGCAGGGCGTGGCTGGGGGGGCCAGGAACCGTGTGTCAACGCAGTCCATGCCCATTACACAGCTTCATCTCGAAAAGACGTGGACCGCTGGGGTTTTCCTTACCATCTTGCCACTGACCGTGGCCTCCAGGGAGTCCACCAGCTCCGCCGTGACGCCGATGAGCGTGTGGTAGTCCACCTGGGTCTTGTTGTACCGTTTCAGGTACGTCATCGCCCTCCGCTCAGCTTCTACCAGCTGCTGGTGGAGCTGCTGCAACGTTTCTAGGAAGACATTTATATTTACATGAAAAAAAAAACAATTAAAAAACCCTGCAAAACAAAAAATAAGTATATTCCTCTCAAGGGAGTACCATGCCTACTATCATATTTTGCTATAACAATGAACTTGACACTATGAAAACACTTTGCTTCTGTTTCATGCCACATTTAGTTAGAAAGTGCTTTGCAATCACTGATTTTTATTTCCTGTCTCTGGTAGTTCAGCGAATCCTCTCTGGTGTCCTAACAAAGCCTATTTCCTGGACTGAACCCCACACAATTTCTTTCAGTTCCTTTCTTTATGTGCAAGAAACAAACTCAACGTTTCGTCCCATAATCAGCTCACAAAATGGCTGAACCAAACCCATGTCTTCTTCTCTGACTTCGCCTGTGAGGTTGTTTGGGGGACAATTTATACCTGCAGGGCAGTTCTTCATTTTAAGTAAGGGTCAGAGCTGCTTGGCTGCTGCTGGAGAAAACAAGAATCTAGAAGATTCCAGGTGCTCATTCTGCCAGTTATTTATTTTAATCCTCACCCAAGGATATGTTTTTATTGAATTTAGAGAGGAAGGGAGAGGTGGAGAGAGAGAGAGAGAGAAACACTGATGTGCGAGAGAAACAGCAACAGGTTGCCTCCCACACACGCCCTGCCCAGGAATCAAACCCACAACCTTTCAGTGTACAGGACAATACTCCAACCAGCGAGTCACACTGGCCAGGGCTCGTTCTGCCAGTCTGCTAGAGCATGACACCCACTTAGAGCAGGCAGCCTTGGAGTGTCCCAGTGTTCCTCCTTGGAGCCCCATGGGCAGCACTCGCTGGCCAAGCCACCCTGGGCACAGTTGGAATACACGCCTTTGCCCCACCCAGCTCTCCCTTCCCTAGAACACTACGTTCTGGACGGAAGAAACCCAAGTTAACTCACGACTGTCCCAATCTAGGCTCCGCGTACTGTGTAAAGTCCTCGTTTTAGAACACATTTCATGTGTGCACAGAGAGATTTTTAAAATGATAAAGACCCGGGCTCAAAGTCCTACTTCATCACTTTCTTGCTGGGTAAACTGAGGCAAGATATTTAACTTTGATTTCATTTCCTAACCTATAAAATGGGGAAAATGATAATCATCTCAAAGGGTTAAATGAACAAATACAAAGTGCCTAGCACAATGCTAGCCCACGACAGGTGATCGATAAACAGTAACTATTATTATTTCCTTTCGTGGAAAGGGGTCAAATATATTCTAAATGTATTTCCATAACCTGAAGAAATGGCAGAAGGGTTATGTCCTAGAACAGCGGTCTGCAAACTCTGAAATACACCCGAAGCATCTCTGACACATGCTATGCATGCAAGAGCCACAGTCCTAATTCTCCATCCTCTAATCTGTATCCTAGACAGCGACGAGGGTCACCCACACCCCACCTGTATTTCAAAAACTTTTGTTTTTACTGATGTGCAGAGTAAAATATTTTAACTCTTAAAACCCCAAATACCACATTATAATGAACTATTATTATTACCATCATTACTTAGCACTCATCAAGTCTCAGCAATGAAAGATCACTTTGGAAGTCACCTCGCACAGCCCTGGCTGATCTGGCTCAGTGGTTAGAGTGTCGGCCTGCAGACCAGTGAGTCGCAGTCCGATGCTGGTCAAGGGCACGTACCTCGGTTGCGGTTCGTCCTTGGCCCCGGTAGTGTTGTGCGGGAGGCAGCCAGTCGATGTGTCTCTATGACATTGATGTTTCTCTCTGTCTCTCTTTCTCTCTCCCTCCCACTCTATCTAATAATAAATGGAAAAATATCCTCCGGTAAGGAACAAAAAAAAAGAAAGTCACCTTGCACAAACTTACATTCAGTACTTGAACTTCTGGAAAACACCCCTGGGGTCATTTTTCAAGTTTCTCCTTAAATATGATTAGGGAAAAGGAGTCACTACCTTCTCCCCACCCCGAATATTATAAAAGCTTTTTCATATGTATAAAATTCAAAATTATATAAACTAGACCTTACAACAATGAAAATTCTACAGCATACTGATAATCCCATTTTGTGGTCATAAGTTTAGAGTATCTCTGTGAACTTTCTCAGCAGGTTTCAAGTGGCAGATAATGAATCACAGCTGGGTCAAATGACCTCCCAAACATGAATGTCATCAAAGTAGACCCTCTGTGAAGGGGACACAGAAAGGGACTCGTTCCCTCAGAAACTCACTGCACAATGAACTACATGCAAGAGGCCATCTGTGGCAGGGTTGCCTTGGGAACCCTGGGACTGGTGACCGTCTCACCCGCTGGAAGAGCGCTAACTGCCAGCGGCCTGCAGGGAGGAGAGAAGGCGGCTGGGCTGACACATTTATGACCATTTCTGAACCGCAGGCCAACGCTTTAACCGCTGAGCCAAACTGGCCAGGGCGACCATTTCAAATACACCATTTACGAAACAGCCTGCTACCCACCGCCACCCCCTTGCAGACACCTTGCTGCTAACAACCAGGGCCTGAGCTGTACTGTAGCTGTTTAAGTCACAACCCCAAACACCAACTTTACTTTCGAGCAGTAAACAGAACTTCGACTCTTTTATCCCATCAAACATTTTATGAGACAAGGGAATCTAAGCCAAGATGCCTTGCCATGCAGGAGCTCACACTGAAGGAGATGTCTTATTCCATGCTATTTTAATGAAACTGGCTTAGTCCAGCCAGTGATGTTTATCGCGATTGTTCACGTTTCAAGAAGTTGAAGAACTGCACCCCAAGTTCTGAACAAGAGCTGCACACACCGAAGGAACCCAGGCAGGTGCCACAAAGGTCCCTGTTATTCCGGCGAGCAACAGTCACGCTCCCTTTTATATATATGGCGCTGTTGCCCTGGCCAGTGTGGCTCAGCTGGCTGAGCATCATCCCATGCTCCAGAAGGTTGCCAGTTCGATTCCTGGTCAGGGCACATACCCAGGTTGCAGGTTTGATCCCCAGCAGGGGTGCGTAAGGAAGATAACCGATCGATGATTCTTTCTCTCCCCCACTTCCTCTCTCTCTAAAATCAATAAAAACATAAAAACATATTTTTAAAAATAAAATAAAATATGGAACTGTCTTTCTAACCTCATGTACAAATCTAAATTCAACCATTCTGTCTTCACATTAGGAGATACTCTTTCTTCTTCATATTCAGATAGAAATAAACTCTGTATTATTTTGCTAATCCACAAACACTGATGAATAAAGTTATAACTCACAACCATAAATATAAGTCATTATTTTAAAAAATACTATTTAGGGCTCTGAACTCTAGAAAAACCAGCTGTTGCTCATTTTCTGAAGGAGCCAACTCAATTAATGCCAGAAATGCTAAAAGATACTGTTTCTATATCTTTTTTAGATGACTAGGTGAAAATAGTAATCCAATATGCTATACTACCAACCTAAGTTTTCAGTCAAAGCACGTTTTTGTTTTTTTTTATCCACACCTGAGGACATTTTTTCATTTTTTGTTCGGACAGAGTGGGAGGGAGAGAGAGGAAGAGAGAGAGAAAGAGAAACATCGACGTGAAAGGGACACATCGAGTGGTTGACACCCACACAACCCAACCAGGGCCGGGGACAAACTGCAACCGAGGTACATGCCCTGAGCGGGAACCGAACTCGGGTCTCTCTGGACCGCAGGTTGACGCTCTAACTGCTGAGCCAAACCAGCCAGGGCCCCCTTTTTTTTTTTTAAATTCTCACCTTAGGACATTTTTTTTTTAAATTTATCTTCAGATAGAGTAGGAGGGAGAAAGGGAGGAAGAGAGAAACACTGATGTGAGAGAGACACATAGACTGGCTGCCACCCACACAACCCCAACCGGGGCTGGGGACAAACTGCAACCAAGGTGCATGCCCTTAGTGGGAACCAAACCCATGTCTCTCTGGTCCAGGGGCCAACACTTCAACCGCTGAGCCAAACCGGCCAGGACTAAACACTATTTTTTTTTTATCCTCACCCGAGGACATTTTTTGATATTTTGTTCAGATAGAGTGGGAGGGAGGAAGAGAGAGAGAGAGAGAGAAACATCGATATGAAAGGGACACATCAAGTGGTTGCCACCCGCACGACCCAACCAGGGCCGGGGACAAACTGCAACGGAGGTATGTGCCCTTAGTGGGAACCAAACCTGGGTCTCTCTGGACCGCAGGTCAACGCTCTAACCACTGAGCCAAACTGGCCAGGGCTAAACACTATTTTTAATATAATTCCTTTTGAGAAAATTTCCCATTCCAACCTCTTTTACTAACTTCTTCAAAAGCTTATGGAAATCTCACTTTATCTGTGAAACCTTCTTCTTTTCTTTATTGATTTGAGAGAGAGAGGAAGGACGAGGGAGAGAGAGATGGAAACATCGATGAGAGAGAACATCGATTGGCCTCCTGCATGCCCCCTACTAGGGATTTGGCCCACAACCTGGGCATGTGCCCGGACTGGGAATTGAACTGGTGACCTCTTGGTGCATGGGTTGACGTCCAACCACTGAACCACACCAGCCAGGCCAGTGAAACCTTCTTATCAAGACACACAGAATAATAATATTACCCAAGCACTCCATTAAAAAAAAACATACCGGAGTCTAGAATTAAGTTAAATTGGAGGCATGTCTGGGCCCCATGGTCACCACAGCTGCAGTTCAGGAGGCAGGGGCAGAGGTGGCCACTGGCTGTCCTGACCTGGCCTGCTCCCAGCGCGGAGCACCTGGAGCAAGTGCTCTGCGGGGCCCGCCTCGCGTCCGCACAGCTGCACTGCACCTCGGGCTGGATTCGGCCCGAAGCACGCTGTGCCTGCCAGACGCGATTCTGCTCGGCTATCCCAAGAAAACTCAATTGAAATCAAATTAAAGAAGGCTCAAAAACCCTGGGCTCCTTGCTGAAATTCCAAAGGAAAGATCCGTAGAAAAACACAGGCTCTTCTACTTGCACTCCCTCTCCCTGCCATGTTTATTTTGTCTACAAAACTGGGCTACTTATCACAGACATAACTGTACCCAGCAGAAAGCCTCAAAAACTGCAGGGGATGCTGGGGTGACAGAGGCTGGAGAAACTCAGGAATCTGGAGCAACTTCTCTCCACCTCCCTCCCCTGGTGCCACGGTGTCCAAAGACCAAATCCGGACAGGGACAAAGCAGACTGAGTGTGGGACTCGGGCAGCTCTCTGGGACCATGCAGGTGGGGTGGTGGTTTTAGAATGTGACTGCAAAGCCTTGGACACTCCTTCCCATCAGGAAGTGAGATGAAATGATCCTTCCCTGAATGTGTGCTGAACACAGGAGTTCACGGCTAAGGAAGAGAAAGCAGCAGGAATGAAACTGAGTTACTCCAGAGGCTGGGTTAGAAAGGGTGACATGGTTTCCATTGGTTCTCTATGGGACTTGCACCCTGGGGACCCAGTCACCACGCCCTGAGGAAGCCCAGGCCACATGGAGAGTCCATGTAGGCGTTCCAATCAAGGGCCTCCGCCGAGATCACAGCCAACAGCCAGCAGACATGCACGTGGTGAGGCAGGAAGCCCTGGTGATGCTCCGCCTGGCTCGCCTGCACCCACAAGACACCCCCAGGGAGAACTGCCTAACTGAGCTCAGTTCCCAGACCACGCAAGATGGTAATAACAATACATAAACACTGTTGCTTCACGCCACTACTCCTGAAGTGGTCTGCTAGGCAGCAACGGCGGTATAAACAGTAGGGCAAAGGAGTATTTCCAGGTGTTGCAGGGCAAGACCCAAGTGCCCAGCCCAATTTACAAATTCCAGCTGTGCTGATGTGAGACAGCTCCCGGGACCGCCCCAGCCAGGGCCTGGGCACTGCACCAGCACTGCAGGGAGCAGGCCCGAGGTGCTGAAGAGACGGGCTGGGGGCACAGCAACCTCGAGAGGCCGAAAGCCAGGCGACCCTGGGGCCATTCCATGTGGACCTCAGGAGGTACATCTGCACCCCTGCTCCTCTGTGCTCAGGCACAGGGCTGAGGCTCCTCCATGAAGGCAGCAGGTCTGTCCCTCTGAGCTCCAGGGGGCACAGCACGGCTGGCAGAACCAGAACGCAGAACTGCTGGGCTGGGGCTCTGCAGGGCCACCATGCACAAAAACAATCATCGAAACTCTTCTCATCTGAAGTTACTACAGCATCATTCAGTTGTCAGCTCCCTGGAAAGCAAAGAGCTAACTCATTTACCAAGGCTTCCTTCTTTAGAAAACTTTAATTCTCTAAAAAGAAACATGAAGAAAACTGCCAGGCAGTTTTGAAATCCTTGCTAACATTACTCTGCTGTGACCAGGGCAAACGAGCTGTTTCATGTAGTAAAGCGCCACCTGCTGGGAGCGGAGGGCGATGCACCGAACTCGCCCGAGGCTGAAGCATACATATCACCTGCCCTGCCCAGCACAGTAACTTCAGCCCCAACTCTGACCAATTTCATGCTAAGGTTTCAGAAAGGTTTTTTTCACCTTTCTGAAAAATGAACAGTTCTGGTCGAAATTACTAATCATGGAAAACCATCATTTATGCTAAAAAATTCAGACTGGAATTCCTACTTTGAAGGTAGAAAATGAAAATGCTTTGTAAGAATGAGTACTCGACCAGTTCAAGGCGAAAGTGAAGGATACTAAAATGATTCCTCCCGGCCCCACTCTGCTGTCTTCGTGTGTGTGTGTGTGTGTGTGTGTGTGTGTGTGTGTGTGTGTGTGTGTTCCAATAATACTTAATGATACAGAAACAGCTTCATGACAAGTGAAAAATCTGGGAATAAAATGAATTTTACAATATAATTCCAACATGGTTTAAATTTTGTTTTTACATTTATGGACTAAAAACACAAGTTGTGCCCAGCCAATGTGGCTCAGTGGATTGAGCACTGTCCCATGGACTGAGATGTTCCGGTTCGATTCCTGGTCAGGGCACATGCCTGGATTTTGGGCTTGTTTCCCAGTAGGGGACATGCAGGAGGCAGCCAGTTGATGTATCTCTCTCACATTGATGTTTCTATCTCTCTCTCTCTTCTTCTCTCTCTAAAAAACCAATAAAAACATAGTTAAAATTCTGAGTAACTGATTATTTCAAAACAAAACAAAACACAAACACACAAGCTGGAAAGAAATATTAATAGTGATTGTGTCTGAATATTTCAATTTTTCTCCTTTGTAATTTTCTAGCTTTCTAAGTTTTCTACATCGATCAGGAAAATAATTACTTAAAAGACATAGTTTTCATGGAATAAGGAATAAAAGGAAATATACCAAAATGATGACAATGATTATCTTTGGGTGGTAAATTGTTTTTAGTATCTCCTTTACAGTGTTTACCATTTTCCAAATTTTATAATGAGCAATTATTACTTTTACAATAAACATTTTAAAAAACAATCAGTCATCATAGGCTACATAACATTTTAATAATGTTTTTAATTTTCATACCACGTGCTGGCTTGTAACTGTGCGGCTGCAGTTACATTGGCACAGTGCTTGGATTCGCTTCATTTCTCCACGACTTAGTTACTTGACATGCAAAACGAAGCTAAAAATACCAGCCTTCCTGAAAAGTGGACCTCAAGGAATCTCAGATACGAATGATTGCAAAGCACTTCATAAATATTTAGACATTTAAAGCCCTCATTTTCCAAGTCTGTGGAATTCTCTCCATCTCACTACTTAAAACTTAAGTTGGCAAAGTTATTTTAAAAAACTTAATCCACATGATTTACCTTTGTGACTCTGTCCATTCTCCTTCTGGGATAAGAAAGAAGTTCAGGAAAATGCGCATCCAGGATGCAGTCGTCAGGGTATCCCTCTCGTGTGGTCAGTCTGAGAAAGAGCCTCAGTATGGTGGAAGAGGATTCTCGGGACAGCGAAGGCCACTTCTTCATGACTAGCTAAGATGGTTACTGACTTCTCATTACTTGGATGACTTGCTCTCAAATAAATCCTCTTCTCTCCATCTCGATTTCTTCTGTGTGCATCCAAATCTTATGCTATTTCAACAGTGCCTTAACTGGCCACCTTACCCTCTTCAAAAGACCTTCCCCACTGCTACCAAAACATTCTACTAAAAATGCAAATCTGAATTCATACGCTTTAACTCTGTAACTTCAGCGCTAAAGCTTTATCCTACAGAGACTGGGATTGGGATGGAAACAGGATAGCAGATTCATGGAGCCAGGTCGCCCGGGTGCAAACCTCAGGTCCCATACATCTGACCACGTGACTGAAAGCAAGGTATTCAACCTGTTTTGTGTGGGTTTTCTTGAATTTTTTTCTAACAGCTTTATTGAGATGTGATACACACATTATATGGCTCACCATTTAAAGTACACATTTCGAAGGTTTTCAGTACACTCAGAGTTGCGCAACTATCACCACAAGCAACTGTGGAACATTTTCATCACCCCCAAAAAGAAACCCTGTACCTATTAGCAGTCACCTCCATCCTCCCCACCCTCCTGGCCCTAGGCGAGTACTACTCTGTTTCTATCGATTGGCCTCTTCTGGCTGTCATGCAGATGGAGTCCTACAATAGGTGGCCTTTTGTGTCTGGCTTCTTTCACTTAGCATAATATTTTCAAGGTTCGTGTTGCAGCATGTACCAGTAATTCAAATTTTTATTGCCAAATACTATTCCACTGTGTGGATGTGCCACATTTTGCGTACCCACTCAGCAGCTGATGGACGTTTGGGTTGTTGGCACTCTTTGGCTATTTTGAATAATGCACCATGAACACTCATGTGCAAACTGCCATGCAGACATGCGTTCTTTCTCTTAGGTATACAGCTAGGTGTAGAATCGCTGGGTCACGTAGTAACTCTGTTTAACTTTTGAGGAAACAACTTGTTTTTTGAAGAATATTTAATGATATGCGGGGAAATACTCTCTTCATTTGATTAAAATATTTAAAAATCCATATACAGCCGGCCCTCGTGTATCGCGGTTCCTCAGTTCCAGACTCGACCCTGGACCCTGATAAGTGCATTTCCGCGAAGTAGGGTTCTTTATGCACAGTCGTCCCTGCCACTTCGCGCTTCCACTCCCGCGGCCTCACTGTCGCGGTTTTTTCAAATACTATACTATATGTATATACTATAGTTAATACATATACACACACACACACTGTATTTGAAGAAACCGCGACTGAGTGAGGCCGCGGAAATGGAAGCGCGAAGTGGCAGGGACGACTGTACACACCGGCATTTATCCTTTCTATTGTAAACATTACATACTTTGGGGTGTATGTATGTATGCAAATGCGTTTCTGTGTTTTCCAAGATCATATAAGAAATATGATCTATTTTATAATCAGGAATAAAAAAGTAAAAAGCTTCTGCACAGCAAAAGAAACAATCATCAAAATGGAAAGGGACCCCACTGTATGGGAGAGCATAATCGCCAATGATGCATCAGATAAGGGGTAATTTCCAAAATATATAGAGTGCTCATACAACTCCACAAAAGGAAGACAAAGAACCCGATCAAAAAATGGGCAGAGGAACTAAATAGACACCTCTCCAAACAGGACATACAAATGGCCAAGAGACATAAAAAAATGCTCAACGTCACTAATCACCAGAGAGATACAAATTAGAACAACAATGAGGTATCACCTCACACCTGTCAGAATGGTCGCCATCAACAAATCATCAAACAACAAGTGTTGGCGAGGGTGTGGAGAAAAGGGGACTCTAGTACACTGCTGGTGGCAATGCAGACTGGTGCAGCCACTATGGAAGACACTATGGTGTTACCTCAAAAAATTAAAAATGGAACTGCCATTTGACCCAGTGATCCCACTTCTAAGAATATATCCTAAGAAGCCTGAAACACCAATTAGAAATAATATATATATCCCTATGTTCGTAGCAGCACTATTTACAATAGCTAAGATCTGGAAACAACCCAAGTGTCCATCAGTAGATGAGTGGATTAAAAGGCTGTGGTACATGTACACAATGTAATACTATGCAGCTGTAAGAAAGATCTCTTATCCTTTAAGATGACATGGAGGGACCTGGAAAGTATTGGCTAAGAGAAAGAAGCCAAGCAGAGAAAGACAAATATCACATGATCTCACTTATTTGTGGAATATAATGAACTAAACAAACTGATGAACAAAACTGACCCAGAGACATAAAGGTAGGATACAGACTGAAAACCGCAGAAGAGGAGGTGTTGGGGGGCGGGGGGGGGGAGATAAACCTCAGAACTTATATGCATGTATGCATAACCAATGGACATAGACAACAAAGCTGGGGATGGGGTGGGGGGGATGGGGAGGAGAAACATCTGTAACTAAAACAAATTAATAAAAATAATTTAAAAAAATTTTTAAAAATGCAATACAGTAACATTGCATGTACAGATTTTACTACACTTTGATCAGAATTGGGTAATAGCTGTTTTAAAATTCAATTAAAAAGTGATTTTTGTTTGTTTGTTTTTTTTATCCTCACCCGAGGACATTTTTCCAATTTTTGTACAGATAGAGTGGGAGGGAGAGAGAGGGAGAGAGAGAGAGAGAAACATCGACGTGAAAGGGACACATCGAGTGGCTGCTACCCGCACGACCAACCAGGGCCGGGGACAAACTGCAACCAAGGTATGTGCCCTTAGCAGGAACCGAACCGGGTCTCTCCGGACCGCAGGCCGACGCTCTAACCGCTGAGCCAAACCGGCCAGGGCTAAAAAGTGATTTTTTTTAAAAACATAAACATGGCCCAGCTGGTGTGGCTCAGTGGTTGAGCGTCGACTCATGCAATAAGAAGTCGCCAGTTAGATTCCTGGTCAAGATACATGCCCAGGTTGTGGGCCTGCTCCCCACTGAGGGGCATGTAGGAGGCGGCCAATCAATGTTCTCTCTCATTGGTGTTTCTATCGCTCTCTCCCTCTCACTTCTCTCTGTAAAATCAATAAAGGGGGGGGGGGCATTGCAAACTTATTAAATAAGTAAAATATAAGCATGACCATGTTATTTTCCTGTTTAAAACATTTTAAAGGCTCCTCACTACCTACAGGACCTCACACACACCTCTGTGACCTGGCCCTGCCTCGTCTCTGATTTTCTCTGTCTCGATCCTTCTTCTCCAGCAATACTGACTTCTTCAGAGCTTCCCAAACGTACTGGTTCAGTGCTTTTGCACGAGCCGTTCCCGCTGCCTGGAGTTCCTATGCCTCATTGTCTCTGCCCACGGATTCCTTCTCTGTTCGGAACTCCACCTTGGCTGAGGGAACTAGGCCTCGGCCTTTCAATCCCCAGCCCGATAGTCAACTTCATATATGTGTTGAACTGAACTGCAACTATGTCATGCAATAAGGCAAAGAAAGGAATAATGTTTATAATTACCTGCTCTATTTCAGTACATTTGCTTCAAAGCATATTGAATAGGATGCAAGGTGACAAGTATTTGCAAACATCTATAATACTAACAACTAACAGCTATCAAGCACTTACTATGTGCCAGATGTTTTAAGCAGGTTTCATGTGTTAATGCAATCCTAATATTATTTCTATGAAACATGTGCTATTATTAATATAACTAATATGATTTAGTATGTAAATAATTTTAGAATCTTAACATACGGGCACCATTAATTTTGAGCTGAGAAGTGACTTTAAAAAGAGTATATATTTTTATATAAAAGTCTTGCCCTGACCAGTTTTTCTCAGCGGTTAGAGCGTCGGCCTGCGGTCCGGAGAGACCCAGGTTCGGTTCCCGCTAAGGGCATGTACCTCGGTTGCAGTTTGTCCCCGGCCCTGGTTGGGTCGTGCAGGTGGCAGCCACTCGATGTGTCCCTTTCATGTCGATGTTTCTCTCTCTCTTTCCCTCTCTCTCCCTCCCACGCTATCTGAACAAAAAATGGAAAAAAAAATGTCCTCAGGTGAGGATAAAAATAAATAAATTAATTAATTTTTAAAAATAAAAATAAAAAGCCCTAATTTACTGAAAACTGTCATTTTATACGGACCTCTGAGAGGAAAACGTGTTGGACACGCAGACACCGCGGTATGTGGGTAAAGGGAAGAACCCGAACGAAGCCTGCAGGTTACAGAAGCAGAGAGAAGAGCTGCAGGTCAGCCGACTGGGGACAGTCTCAAGGCAGGTGAGGCTCAGGGGCTCAGCGTGGGCAACAGGGACGCTGACGGCTGAGGAAGCTGCAGAAGAAGTGGGTCACCCAGGGACGACGACTTCGATGAGGAAAGGGAGTCCTAGGCTTTGGAGTTAGAAAGGAAGCAGGTGTTATGCAGCAAAGTGCCTTAAATTTTTCATTGACTTAGAAAAAATACCAACTTTACAATTCAAAACGTCATACTCTTGTTATAAAATAACTTTTGATACACTTGTTCAGAATAAAAGGAGACAAGCATCCTTGAAGACCAGCGAGCTTTGGGAAAGCAGCCTGGGGTGGGGGGTGGCCCTCACCCCACCCTTCCTTGGACCTGCTGCCCGAGAGGCACTCTGTCCAGTCAGTGCCCCGTTTACTCTCAAAGCCTCCTGATTTAAATTGGATTGAGATGAAGGCTGCACAACTCTATACATTTGCCCCAAATCATTAAATTGCACACTTTTATGGTATGTAAATTTCACCTGAATAAAGTTGTTTCTGGGTCAGCAGTCAGAGCATGGGCCCGCGGACCAGAGTCACAGGTTCGATTCCGGCCAAGGGCACGTACCTTGGTTATGGCTCTTTCCCGGCCCTGGTCAGGTCATGCGGGAAGCAACAAGTCAATGTGTCTCTCTCACATTGATGTTTCTTTCTCTCCCTCTCCCTCCCTCCCTCCCACTCTATCTGATGGTAAATGTAAAAGTATCTTAAGGTGAGAATTTTTTTAAAAGTCCCAATTTGAGACTGGCCAGTGTGGCTCAGTGGATTGAAAGTTGCCCATGGACTAAGAGGTGCTGGTTTGATTCCCTGGTCAGAGCACATGCCCAGGTTGTGGGCTCGATTCCCCAGTAGGAGGTGTGTAGGAGGCAGCCGATCAATGTTTCTCTCTCACATCAATGTTTCTAGCTCTCTCTCCCTTCCTCTCTAAAAAAAATTTACCATATATATATATTTAAAGTCCCAATTTGAATAACAAGTTATATAGTGACTTGATCCACGTGCCAGGGCTTCTAGCACATGACATAAAGGTAAGCCCCTACCCGTCTCAGAGACCCAGCGCCACAGAGGTCAACCCTGTGCTGCCTTGCGGCGCACACCTGCGAAAGCAGCACCGTCCATCCCGTGGGTGAGGCGTCCAAGCAGCTGGTCTACCACCCCCGGCCTCCATCAGCTCCAAAAGGATACATACAATGTCAAAAGCTTTGGCGTATTACTGGCTTTAAACATTAAAGCTAGAAACTTTTCCAACTTCAACTTCAATTCTGGAGTCCAAGAATCCTAAATAAAAACAAAACAAAACAAGGAAATAAAATAAAAACTAGATCACCAACTGCCAACAGCGCCGTCACGTTGTGGCCTTTGGGGTTAATGTTTTGGCAGTGGTGTGGTGCAATAACACACGGGTTTACGGACAACTGACTGATTCATTTATGGGAGAGTCAAGTACCCACAGCAGGAAGGAAAAGCAGGTCTTTCATAAACAGGGAAAAAATAACCCAGTACATGATTTGAATAGTTCATGTGATTTAAACACAAGCACGACAAGTAACCTTATTAGGTTGAATACCAGAAATCATTCCCCCAGGTCTAGCACACGTGGCCCTGGCAGGCGCACACAGTGGTCACTGTTGCCAAGTCTCCGAAGAAAGGCACTCACTCCCACAAACCTCATCCAGGTAAGGAAAAAGACGGCAGCTCAAGTGCCATCACGTCAGGAATGATGCTATACTTTTAGTTTAATTTGTCCCTTAAAAATAAATTATTTATCACGCTGGCCAGTGTGATTCAGTTGGTTGGGCTTTGTCCCATGCACCGAAAGGCTGCTGGTTAAATTCCCGGCCAGGGCATATGCCCGAGTTGTGGGCTCAGTTCCCGGTAGGGGTCATGCAGGAGGCAGTGATCAATGTTTTGCTCTCACATCGATGTTTCTCTCTCTCCCTCTCCATTCTGCTCTCTCTAAAAATAAATTTTAAAAATCTTAAATGAAATAAAATTAATTATTTATCTCAAATAATGCTCACTGAGGAAAAAAAATAATGATGTAAGTGGTGAAAGAAAAAAGTGTGACAAGCAACAATATTTCTCAGGGCAATATCCTCATAGTTTTTATACAAAAATACCTACTACCCAAACTAAGAAGTTCACCAAAATGAAGCTGTATCAGTAAAAATTCCTATTCACTTAGCTCTGAGCTCCTGCCCAGCTCCCGCAGACCTTCCCACCTCCCCACTTGCTCCTCTCCAGCTCTGCAGCCTCCCCCACCAAATCAGTCCATCCAGTGTGTTACTGACCTTTGAAATACACTGCCACATGAGCAGAAAAGTCTTATATTTAAAAAATATTTTATAATTCACTGACACAGCATGATAACTCTATTTATAACGTGTCTTATGGGTTAAATTGTGTCCCCTAAAAAGATACGTTGAAGTCCCAATCTCAGAATGTGAGGTCATTGGGGACGGGGGTCATTGCAAATGTAATTAGTGAAGTTGAGGTCGTACTGGAGCAGGGCGGGTTCCCAATCCAACATGAACGGTGTCCTTACAAGAAAGGGAATTTCAGGTAGACACAGAGAGAGGATGGCCGTGTGAGGGCTGAGTAGAGGCTGCGATTACGCTGCCACAAGCCAAGAGACACATGAACTTTCCAACGGCTGGAAGAGGCAGGGAAGGGCCCTCCCTAGGAGGCTTCACAGGGAGAACGGCCCTGCCGACGGACACCTGGGTCTCGGACTTCTGGCCTCCTAAACTGAGCGGTGAGTTTCTGTTGTTTTAAGACACCTTGTCTGTGGTCCTCTGCTACAGCAGCCGCAGAAAACTGACGCAATGCCAGGCTCTCCGTGCTCAGCTACACAGAAGAATCATGGGAAAGGACTGCTGTGTTGGCCAACATAAATCAAGACAAAAAACAAAACAAACAGCCTGGCCGGTGTGGCTCAGTGGTTGAGCGTGGACTCATGCACCAAGAGGTCGCTGGTTCGATTCCCAGTCAGGACACATGCCCAGGCTGTAGGCCAAATCCCCAGTGGGGGGCGTGCAGGAGGCGGCCAATCGATGTTCTCTCTCATCGATGTTTCTATCTCTCTCTCCCTCTCCCTTCCTCTCTCTCTAAAGTCAATAAAGAAAAAAAATTTTTTTAAACATTTAGGTGTCCCTTAGACACACTGTAGTGAAATTATGCAATCTTAAAGACCAGAGAAAAAAGCCCTGGCCGGTTTGGCTCAGCAGTTAGAGCGTCGGCCTGCTGTCCAGAGAGACCCAGGTTCGGTTCCTGCTAAGGGCAGGTACCCTAGTTACAGTTTGTCCCCGACCCTGGTTGGGTTGTGCGAGTGGCAGCCACTCGATGTGTCCCTTTCACATCGATGTTTCTCTCTCTCTTCCTCTCTCACCCTCCCACTCTACCTAAACAAAAAATGGAAAATGTCCTCGGGTGAAGATAAAATAAAAATTACAGCGCTGGCCGGTTTGGCTCAACGGTTAGAGCTTCAGCCTGCGGTCCTGAGAGACCCAGGTTCGGTTCCCGCTAAGGGCGCGTACCTCGGTTGCAGTTTGTCCCCGGCCCTGGTCGGTCGTGCGGGTGGCAGCCACTCGATGTGTTCCTTTCACATTGACGTTTCTCTCTCTCTCTCTGTTCCTCTCTCTCCCTCCCACTCTATCTGAACAAAAAATGGAAAAATGTCCTCGGGTGAGGAAAAAAAAAAAAAAATTACAAAAAAACAAAAAAAAACAAAACAGAGAAAAAAGACAGATCGCCTACAAAGTAAAAGCAATTAGACTGAGGGCCAACTTTAAAACAGCAACAATAGGAGCTGGGAGACGAAATAATAACACTTTCAACATCCTAAAAGAAAGTAACTGCAAACTTACTATTCTGAACCTTGTCTGAGAATGCAGTAAAGATGTTTTCAGACAAACAAGAACTAAAGGAAGGGGTCCACAACCAACGGGGATTTTAAAGGAAGGTATTTAAGGTGGAGCAGAAAATGATCCCAGATGGAAGGTCCTCAACGTAAAATGGTATAAGCAAAAAACTGGCAAATGGCCCAGCCAGTGGGGCTCAGTGGACTGATAGGTCCCAGTTCGATTCCCCATCAGGGCACATGCCTGAGTTTCAGGCTTGATCCCCAGCAGGGAGAGTGCAGGAGGTGGCTGATGGATGTTTCTCTCTCATGTCGATATTTCTCTCTCTCTCTCTCTCCCCCTTCCTCTCTTGCTAAAAAAAAAAAAAAAAAAAAAAAATCAATAAAAAATTAGAAATGATAAAAAAATTTAAAAACATATTTTTAAAAAAAATTGGCAAATGTAAGGGTAAAACTATATACACATTGATTGCATAAAATAGCACAAAAATCTAAATTATGGGGTTAAAGCAAGTAACTAAAATGTTTGACAATAATAGCACATAAATTGGAACGGGGATGAATGAGTGCATTCTCAGACCTCTGTAATGGCCGGGAAGAGGATAAAGATATTAACGTTAGATTTTATTATGCATACACACTAAAGTATCTACGATGACCATTAAAAGAACACATGCAGAGAGTAGCGAAAGGGGAAAAAAAGGAATAAAATGACTCCGTGACTCCGATGGTCTCTCAGCTCCTGACCCTGCCCTGACCGCCGGCTTCACCTCACCTTGAACTAAGCTGCAGCCACACTGTTATGTCATAATTTTCACAAACAGAAGTCTTCACTGAGAAAACCTACCATCCTTTTCAAGTCTCATCGCCTGCCTAACCCTTCTATCTCAGCCTTCTAGGAGAAGAAAGCAGGAAACCAAATTCGAACTGACTACAAACAGACAAGCTCCAAATTCCACAGGCTACTTGACACCAGCCTGCGTGGATGATCAGTGAACCGGCTCAGCAGCTATCACTGAGGGGTGGGAGCTGGTGACGGAATCGTGATGGACGGCTCAGCAGAATCGCATCTGCTGTTCAGCGGCAGAGGAAGCTCCATACAGATTCTTGGAGACAGTATGAGGTCTTTAGAAAAAGCAATCTAATTACATCAGAATAGTTCAAGCTCAAAATAGAGTTCAATAAAATTCTCAGTGGGACATATTAATTTTAGTAAGACAACAAAAATTACAGTAATAGGTAAATCTTGTTAAATAAATGTTATGCTGAAATGTTAACTAAAATAAAGTATAACAATTAAAAGAGTAATAGGCAGGTCCTGGCCAGGTAGCTCACTTGGTTACAGCATCATCCCAATACGCCAAGGTTGTGGGTTCTATCTCCAGTCAGGGCGAATACAAGAAGCAACCAATGACTGTACAAATGAGTGGAACAAATCAATCTCTCTCTCTCCTTTCCTCTCTCTAAAATCAATAAAAAAATTTTTTAAAAGAACTCTAGGCAAATAGTCTGATGGAAATAACAGTACAAATAAGCTAACCAAACATACACCAAGTAAGTGAGAATTTCAATACAAATTAAGTCCAGCCAGTGTGGCTCAGTGTACTGAGCGATGCCTCATAAACTAACAGGTCCTGTTCAATTCCTGGTCAGGCACAGGCACATGCCCGGGTTGCGGGCTTGGTCCCCAGTAGGGGGCGTGCAGGAGGCAGCCAATCAATGTTTCTCTCTTGATGTTTCTCTCTCTGCCTTCCTCTCTCTCTAAAAAAATCAATAAAAACATTAAGAAAAAAGAAAATGCCGAGCTTAAAAAAATAACACAACCAATCAAAGTACACACGACCAGCAACTGTGTACTCTAGTTCTCTTTCAGGCTACTGTCAATGTAATTGAATTATCATTCCAATACTGAAAAAGTATACACAGACGTTATTACATTAAAAATATTTATGTTGGTCTGGGTTAACAGGTCTTGGTGCAACCAAAAAAATCACATTTTGTGGCACAAGAAAGTTTGTTAAAGCAATTTATCTGAATATTCTTAAACTGCAACATGAGCAAATGTTTGTTTTTTTACTGCCTCAGTCAAAAACCATCAGTACAACAAGATAAATCGCAATGCTGCCTGGGACCTGACAGGTTCCGAGGCTGTCACTTACCTGAAAGAGCTCTTTAAATGACGGGTGCACCATCGGGTTGGGAACAAAAGGCAGAGCATAGAATGGGAGGAACTCTGTGGTCTGGCTCAGTGCTGCCCCTTTGCTCTCCAGGTAGGTTTTGAAATAAGAAATCCTCTCACTCAGTTCCTCTTTGTCCTGCGAGGAAGGGAAGACGCTCGCTCGCTCGCTCGCTCGCTCGCTCGCTCGCTCGCTTGAGGTCCCCGGCTTGACACCCAGCCCAGGGCCCACCCAGCTCCGCTCTCCGCCACGGTGCTGGCAGCCTCCCCATCGGCCTGCAAGTGCTCCAGTCATTCTAACATCAACCCCACTTTCTCCTTCATAGAACTGTCAGGAAGACCAGAGAACAGACATGCGTTCCTACGCTGCCTTTTACTTGGTTACCATTTTGTGGTATCCTTATGATTTGTCATAAACTTCATTTTTTTCTTTATTGATTTTTAGAGAAAGAGGGAGAGAGAGATAGAAACATCGATGAGAGAGAACATCGAATGGCCGCCTTCTGCTTGCCCCCCACTGGGGATCGGGCCCACAACCTGGGCATATGCCCTGACCAGGAATCAAACCGGTGACCTCTTGGTGCATGGATGATGCTCAACCATTGAGCCACACCGGCCGGTCCATAAACATCATTTTTAATGGTAGGACAAAACCTCATTTTGTGGGTCTATACAATTCATTTAACCAATTCCCCATTATTAGATATGTACATTGTTTCCATATTTCTGAGATCATAGACATTTGTGTGCATGCTCATGATTCCCTTAGGAGAGGTTTCTAAAGGTGACTAATTTTTCGAAACAGAGGTTTCCATATCACATTCCTTTCCTTCATTAAGGTAACTGAGCACTGATCTTGCTGCTTCATTAATTCCATGGGAAATCAAGGCCAGTCCTTCCCTGGGCTCCCATTTCCTCCTGCACTTCAGTGAGCACAGAGGAGCTGAGCTTCCCAACCTTGAATTTGGTGCTTTCCTTCCCAGACCACCCTGGCCTCACCAGTTACTCCCGCACCTCGTACACAGGTGAAGCCTGTTCTAATCAACGCAGTTCACTGCCTCTAATGGGGGAGCCCTCTTCCAACCATCAGATGTAAAAAATATATAAAGTTGATTGATTTTTAAAATCTTATATCAGCACGGCTGGTGTGGCTCAGTGATTGAGCGTCGACCCATGCACCAAGAGGTCGCAGGTTCGATTCCCAGTCGGGGCACATGCCCAGGTTGTGGGCCAAATCCCCAGTGGGGGGCCAAGCTATGTTCTCTCTCATCAATGTTTCTATTTCTCTCTCCCTCTCCCTTCTTCTCTCTCTCTAAATATCAATACAGAAAACAAAAACAAAAACCTTACATCAATGAAAAAATTAGAAAACATAAATACATACAAAGAAAATTAAAATCTCCACATGAGTGCTATTGTGAGGAACAGCCTTTCAAGAATGGCTATTACAATGTTCTGCAAAGCGGCTCCCTCCACCACTGACCCCTCCTCTGGTCCCTGACAGTCTAATAAGTTAACACAGGCCCTCAGGGCGGCAGGTAATGCCTGGAGAAGCCACTAACCAAGCGCATGTGGTCATACGTCAGCTTGGCCCTGCTCCCCTTTCGGCATCTGCTCTGCACGCGAAGGTTCACCTGCTACGGTGGCCTGCAAAGCCCTCTTCTCCGCGCGTCTCCAGCCCTGCCTAGGACAAGACTGCAGAAGCTGAACTCAACCTATCACTCAAATGGACTTGCACAAATAGGCATACCATTTTCCACTGTTAATACTTAAACTTCTCTTCTAATCTATAGTCTAATATATGCTCTACACATGTGTTCTTAGACATACATGTATGTACGCTGAGTTTTCAAAAACTTGTATTCAGGAAAACAATGTACCTTTCATTACAGAAACTGTTACCTCTCCATGTAAATTAGAAAATAAACTACTGGGGCCTGGCCAGTGTGACTCAGTGGATTGAGCATCGTCCCATGCACCAAGGGTCACAGGTTTGATTCCCAGTCAGGACGTGTGCCCAGGTGGCGGGCTAGATCCCCAGTAGGGGGTGTGCAGGAGGCAGGTGATCTATGTTTCTCTCTCTCTCCCTTTCCCTTTCTCTCTCTCTAAGAAAATCAATAAAAACATATTTAAAAAAAGAAAAAAGGAAAGAAAATAAACTGCTGGGAATGAGATAGCAAATCATTCTTCAGAACACAAGACACCTTCCCCTCAGCATGTAGGATAAAATAGCCATAAAACTAAATTACTGCTCATTTGGAAAACATTACAGCTATCATTCTCCCCTAACACACTATTCGGACCGACTGCACCACGAGGGGAACATACAGGTCTCTGCACGGAGTGTTTCAGAAGATAGATGGCAAAATGGATGTGAAGATAGAATTCCAACTTCTGGGCAAGGGAGTCCCCATCTCGGATGGAACTGGGGATGTGCTCTTCCCACAGATCGAAGAACACCTTCTGGTCTCCGCTGTCAAACGCAGCAAGGAGGTCCCTCTGTGGAGAAGACATCAGACTGAACCCCAGTCACAGGGGTGCGCGTTCTCCCAACCTGTATTTCGCACAGCCCTCCCAGCGCCTCAGAGACCCCGTTACTCTAGGGTTTCCGTGAGAAAAACAAGTCTCCTTTTTGAAGGTAAGGAATAGAAAACTGGAGACCCAGGGGGCTTCAAGCTCCGCAGGCTGAGATTCCTACAGGCCAACCCTAGTTCCCCACCCCTTTGCAATCCGGACTTCATAAGGAACGGACGCGACATTTAAGGCCTCTGATGGAAGGAGTCAGGACAAGCCAAAGACTTGCAGGCACAGAACTAGTGAAGTCGCCCTTGGACTTGCCGACCCACGGCACGCAGCAGAATCACAGGTCGGACCAAGAGCCCCGCCAGGCCTCGGCGGGACACACTTCCCGCACCGGGAGCCTGCCGACAGCGCCGTGCCGAGCCCTGGGGTGCCGAGCCCTGGGCGGCGGGGCTCACCCTGCTGAACCCAGGCCTGGGCGGTGCTGCCATCTGCCATCACAGCAGCACGTCTAGCTGAGCTGGCATGGTGGGAAGCAGCCACCCACAGGCACTGGGCACTTCAGGTACAGAGTCAGACTGGAGACGGAGGAGGGAGCCCAGGCTGGTCCCATTCCAACCTCAGAGCCCGAGTCCGACTATGCAAGACATAGACAGCTTCCAACTCACCACCCAGCAGCTGACACAGAGGATTCTGGAGAAAGGAGGTGGCAATTATTATGTCACCTGTCCCAAGAAGAATGATAACCAGCCCATCGCAAGTACCCGCTGCACAGGCCTTCGGATTTGGTACAAGGCAGGACTGAAAGAACTTCCTCGCAGTCCCAGTCAATGTCCAGCAGCTCAGTGTCCAGGTGCCTGAGGCCCAGGGGGCACTGGGCAGAGGTTGCAGGCACACCTGGAGCTCACAGGCCACTCTGAGAGGGCCCCATGCCAGGCCACTGGGGAGTCAGGGACCAGAAGCAGACAGGTAGTGGCTGAGGCCTAACTTCCAGCTACTCTGTGGGCTTCCCAAAACAAGTCTCAAATTTTTCTTGGAAGGGGGGTATATTGAAACAAATACATTCACTAAAATAATGAAATCATGCCAAACTGAAATATGCTGCCTCAGGACATGGTATGTTCTCTTGTCATCAGATGTAGTCGAGGTGAACTTACCTAGAAAGTTACAAATGGGATGGAAACATCAAATAATGGTTGAAACAAGGAACTTTAGGTCCTCTCTAACCCTAAGGGCTGCCCTTCTCAGTCTGCTCCTGTTCAGAGCTGCCCAGGCCTCCCTGCGACAGGACACTGCCTGTCAGTGTGCCCAGCTCCCTCCTCCGGCCCCCCCAAACTAGACTGCAAGCACCCTGAGGGCGGGGGGTTTGCTTTGTTTTGTTCACCACTGTGTCCCTGGGACCTGGAATTAACAACCTGAAACTCCTCAGGTGGGGATCACAATTGTCTCCGTTTCTAAGTGTGGTAGTTTCCTCTTTTCCTTCTTCCCAAGAAATACACGTGAGAGGTTCAGGGCACCACCCAGTTCCGAGGAAGAAGTGAAGGCGACACTGCTGATTCATCCTCTAACACCTGACAAGCCTAAAACAAGAGTCACTCTGACCAGGTCCCCAGGAAAGGCTCCAGCATTCTCAAACAGCTGCATGTTTTACAAGTTCGGAGCACCTTGATGATCAACAGAGATCAAAAAAGAAAGTAAACCGTTACCTGGATTGTCAATGATTTGGAGACCCTTAAAGAGCCACCTGATGTCTTAGGTAATGGTTTTCCCTTCATTTGGCATTCTTTCAAAAATGTTTTCAAGGTGTCTTCAAATTCAGCAAAATCTAGATACTATAAAAGAGAACACAAATATATGTATGATTCTCTGTTTTAGCATCAACAAAGCAACTGCCTTTGATGTAAATGCACCTGTTCTATAATATCACCAATTTCTTTTCTTTTTTTTATCCTCGCCCGAGGACATTTTTGCATTTATCTTCAGATAGAGCAGGAGGGAGGGAGGGAGCCAGGGAAAAACCACAACCGAGGTACGTGCCCTTAGCGGTAACCGAACCCCGGACTCTCTGGTCCGCGGGCCAATGCTCTAACCACTGAGCCAAACCAGCCAGGGCAATATCACCAATTTCGAATGGGGTTAATGCACTGTCATCTTCAGAAGTAGTTTGAGATCCACTTAGAATTCACTTATTCATGTACACACTAAAAGCCTAGAAAGACAGCAACATAGAAAATGTTTTTTTAGAAAATACGTGTGCTTTCAGAAGGAAATGTGAGCTCCATGGTCCATTATAATTATTATGAATCATGCGTGCAGCAGTCTGAAAAAGGTAAGTGATGGGCGGACAACCTGACAGCTTAGGGTCCAGTAGGTCTCTGGGACTTCGTTACCTGAAACAGAGGGATTCGAAACAATGCCTGTCCCTCTAAGAGGAGAAGAGAAGTCATTAAAAGATGGGCTTTCAGCCCTGACCTGTTTGGTTCAGCGATTGGAGCATTGGCCCGCAGACTAAAGAGTCGCGTGTTCGACTCCAGTCAAGGGCAGGTACCTCGGTTGCAGTTTGGCCCCCTGCCCTGGTCGGGGTCATGCGGAAGGCAACCAGTCAATGTGTCTCTCTCACATAGATGTCTCTCTCTCTCCCTCCCTCCCCCTCTGTCTGAAGATAAATGGGAAAAATATGTATCCTCGGGTGAGGATTAGAAAAAAAGATGGGCCTTCAAGCAGAGCACAATTGATCGCTGCGTGTTCAAGCGCCCCCTCCCCTGCGCCCCGTTCCACGTGCTCCGCTGCTGCGCCTCCTTCCACTCGGTCAGTCACACCTTTCTGTTTGCACCCCTTTTAACCATGGCTGTTCCCCAGGCCTGCCCACAACCCCCTGCTGTGAAGCTTTAGGAATGTATCCATGATCATGCCCACAAGTCCCAACGCTGCATCTCCACCGCCGCCCCTCCCGGTACCCAGCAGACAGGGTACCCAGCAGACACGAATCACACAGGAAAGCAGCAGCGACCGTTTTTTTTTAGCACCAACTCTGTGCCAGCCCCACACGAAAAGCAGTAGAGAAAACCAAAAAAACATTAAGGCCCTGTCGGTCCTATCCTTCAAAAGCTGTCAGCGTGGGATACCTGATGTCCATCAAGAGACACAAGCTAAGCACTCCTGATGCAGCCACTCAGTGAAATGCTCTGCAGCATTAAACAGTGTGAGGATCACGGGAGATGTTCCAGCTATATTACTGTTGACAGACAAAAGACAAGCTACAACACAGTGTGTATGGGGCCATCCTATTTTGCAAAACAAACTACAGACAAGTGACTCTACTTTGAATATTCGTAGAAAAAAGTCTGGAAAGATAATATGCTAAACCATTAGCTGAGGTCCCTGCAGGAGCAGAGCAGGGAAATTCAATGTTTATTCTTTTATGCTGTTTGAATCTGTTACCATAACCATGAATCGCTTTTTTTTTTAATGTTTTTACTTTATTTTGAGAGAGAGAGGAAGGGAGAGGGAGAGAGAAATATCAGCGAAAGAGAAACACTGATCGGCTGCCCCCCTGCACACCTCCTACTGGGGATCAAGTCTGCAAACCGGGCATGTACGCTGACCAGGAACTGAACCAGGGACCTCTCGGTGCATGGGTCAACACTCAACCACTGAGCCACACCGGCCAAGCCCATGTGTTGCTTTTATAATTTTCTTTAAAGGAATTCTAAAAAGCAACTTTTGAATTTCAGTTTAGCCATGGCCGGTATGGTTCAGTTGGTTGAGCATCATTCCATGCACCAAAAGGTCGCTGGTTCAATTCCCAGTCAGGACACATGCCCAGGTTGTGGGCTTGATCCTGGATAGAGTTGCATGCATGAAGCAACCAATGGATGTCTCTCTCTCTCTCTCCCTTCCTCTCTCTCTAAAAATCAATAAATACATATTTTAAAAAAAGATCAGTTTAGCCCTGGCCAGTTTGGCTCAGCGGTTAGAGTGTCAGCCTGCGGTCTGGAGAGACCCGGGTTCGGTTCCCGCTAAGGGCACGTGCTTCGGTTGCAGTTTGTCCCCGGCCCTGGTTGGTCGTGCGGGTGGCAGCCACTCGATGTGTCCCTTCACGTCGATGTTTCTGTCTGTCTCTCCCTTCCTCTCTCTCCGTCCCACTCTATCTGTACAAAAAATGGAAAAATATGCTTGGGTGAGGATAAAAAAAAAAAAAAAAAGTTTATTAAAAAAAAAAAAAGATCAGTTTAGCTATGAAAATAAAATATAAACACATGGAAAATTTTGAAATGGAAAACAGGTAACTGTGATGTAATGACAGAAGAAACAGTGCAAGGCACTGCTGAATGTGCTGTGTTGTAAACACACACTTCACAAGTTTTCACGGGCTTTCTCTGTGACTAGAGTATAACATACCCACCTCTTTCACTAGTCCAAGTAATTCGGATTCGTGAGCCAGAATATCCCCCATATTGAAAGGTTACTGTTAATTCTCACAGCAAAAATCTCTACAAGACAAAAAGATAAAACAAAAGCTTTCATTCTAACCATCTGTGAAATCAAAGAAAGGACAAAGGTCCCGAAAGATGTCCACATCCTTATCCTAGGAAGCTGTCAATGTCACTACAAGGCAAGGGAAACTCAGGCTTCAGACAGCATTAAGGCTGCCAAACATGACCTTAAAATAGGGAGAGTATGCCCTGGCAGGGTGGCTCAGCTGGTTGGAGCACTGTCCCGTACACCAAAAGGTTGCAGGTTCGATTTCTAGTCAGGGCACATACCTAGGTTGCAGGTTCGATCCCTCAGGGCGCAGACAGGAGGCAAATGATAGATGTTTCTCTCTCATATCAATATTTCTTCTCTCTCTCTCTCTAATCAATAAAAACATAACCTCGGGTGAGGATTTAAAAACACGATTTAAAAAAAATAGGGAGAGTAGCCTAGGTTTCCAGGTGGGCCCTATGTAAGCACAGGGGCCCTTAAGAGGGAAAGAAGGAAGCGGGAGGGTCAGTACCAGAGTGACACAGTGTGGGAACGACTCAACCAGCCATCGCCAGCCTTGTAGGTGGAGAAAGGGCCAGGAGCCAAGGAATGCAGGAAGCTTCTAGAAACTGGAAAAGGCAAGGAAGGGATTCTCCTCTGGAATGTCCAGAAAGGGTGCTTGATTTGAGTCCAGCGAGACCCATTCAGACTTTTGACCTCCAGAACTGTAAGAGAATAAACCTGTGTTGTTTCACGCCATTTCGTTTATGGTCGTTTAGGACAGCGACACTAGGAAATGGGGTAGCTAAAGTAAAAAATAATGTAATTAGTAACAGTAATTGTTGTACACTTGAATGAATGTGGACAAGGGCTGGAGGGTGGTGTAAACGAGAGTCAGATTGCTGATGGGACTGTGGAAGATTATTTTTCTTATTTAGAGCTTTCTAATGTACTATAATGTGGTGTGCGAATTTCAAATAGTCAAGACCACAGTGTATTTAAATCAGAAGAGAGTTTAAGGACAAGGTCAATTCACTTACTTTAAGGAGGGATGCGCATTAGATTAATCTGATGTAAATGAACACAATCACTAACCCCTCTCTCTGCCCCCCGCCCCCCATGAAAATATTAAACACTGACAAAAAGTCTGCACGATCTTCCATTTTCTCCAGCCACCTTCCGTGTCTCAGTTAGGTTCATCAGAGGGAGGTTTTCCCAGAAGACACGAGAAAGAGAAAACACATGTAACAGTGATGGAGCACTGATGCTAAGCTGCGCCGGGAAGAGGGAGGGAAGGTGCACTGGGGTTGTAAACCAGTGAAAAGGTAACAGGGTCAAAGACCTGCTCCAGAGGCACATGGAAGTGAGCTGGGAAGACAGAGGTGGTGGTCAGAGAGGGGGATGGGTGCTTGAAATCAAAATTTTGGAGGTGGTTCAGTAACAAAAAGTTCGTGATAAGGATGAAAGAGGAAAAGACGTCTACAGTAAGGAGGATGGAGAAACCTGTGTGGCCAGGGTACTGAAATAAAAAATGAGGTTGAGCCCGGCTGGTGTGGTTCAGGGGTTGAGCGTCGACCCATGCACCAAGAGGTTGCTGGTTCGATTCCCGGTCAGGGCACATGCCCAGGCTGTGGACCAAATCCCCAGTGGGGGCATGCAGGAGGCGGCCAATCGATGTTCTCTCTTATCGGTGTTTCTCTCTCTCTCTCCCTCCTTCCTCTCTAAAATCAATTAAAAAAAAAAAAAAAAATGAGGTTGAGGAGGTGAAGAGGCAGACAGTGAGCCAGGAGCTACAGTCTTCGAGGAAAGCAACTGTGCCCCTGAGAGGTGGCTGCCTCACGGAGGGGTGGCAAGTGGTAAAACCCATGGCATGTCCTTCAAAGGAGGGGGGCGGTGATCTGCAAGTAGCAATGAGGAACAGAGAGTGCATGGACCCCACCTGCCACCTCCAGGCCTGCCAGATCCATAAGGCGTGAGGAGAAAGACAGCTACTGTTTGAGGACCACCCCCCCACCCCTCCAGCCTTCCTCTGGACCACCACCCCCATCCCTCTCCCTGCTCCTTTCTGCCACTGCCCATGTTAGGCCCCACCAACAGTGAACTCCCAGTCATTGCCCCATCTAACATGCTCTTTCTAAGCCCTGATTAAGGAGTTTGCCCACCTCCCCGGCAAACTCAAACTCAACTCAACATACTAACTTCCTCCAGACCTGGCCGCCTTTAGGAAGTCTTCCACGAACCCCTCCCCTTCCTTCCCCCATCAAGGCAATCTCTCTCCTCTAGGGTACCTCTGTACCCTACATCTACTTCTAATATTATACTTAGCACCTTGTTTACCAAGGCAGGAAGCTGTGTTTAAATTTTGTATCTCCAGAACCTAGCAGAGGGCCTGGTAGGCATGATAAGCATCCAAGATGTTTGACAAATAAATGAAGCCTGAGTGTGTGTGTGCGTGTGTGTATAAACAAATTACAGAATTTTTCTCTAAACCTTCATATCACAATAGGTTTTATTTATAGAGGGTTTAATGTATGCCAGACAGTGTGCAAAAAGCTTCACATTTAATTTTCATAATAAACCTGGGAGGTCAATATGATTTATATTCTCCTCCTACAGGTGAGGCAATTGAGGCTCAGGGAGGCTGAGGTGCCCTCAATGACCCAGCTAGTAAGTAACAACGTGGGAACTTAAATCTAGACCAACGTTAACCACGACACAGTATTACCCAGAGTTTGGACCACCTGAACCACAATCACCTGGGATGCTTGAGCAAATGGAAATTCCTAGCACCACCCTGATCTCACCGATCATCACGGCAGGCACGATGCCCCCAAACTGTTTTGAACAAGTTCTCCGGATGACCTTTGTGCACATTCAAGTTTGAAAACCACTGCTCTACTTCATGCAGAAACGAGAGAAAACGTCACTTTTGAGGGTTGCAGTGGCAGCTTCTGAATTTCTATATAATAGGGTTTGTGACTAAGGGTAAGACTGCGGGGTGTGTCTGGAAGAATTTGCACAGCAGCATCCTATTTTTGCTTGGAGTGGACGAAATCCGGACTTCACCGGGGTACCTGGGAAGGGGAGTTAGCTGATGGGGATGACGGCGGGTGGGGACCTATAAGTCCCAGGCCACCCGATCGATCGCGCCGCCGCTACCCAGTCGAAGGGGCCCCCTCCAAGGGTGGCCCAGCGGGACGACGGGCGGGAAGCGGCCGCGCCTGCCCCCAGCAGCTGCACAGGCCGGCTGGGCCCACGCCGCAGGCAGAGCCCTGGACCGCAGGCGACAGCGGAGGCATCCTGCGGCGGCCGCCGAGCTGGCACGTCGGGTGACCCTCTGGGGCGAGGGCTCAGCAGAGCCGCGGCGCTCGGGCTCCACCGCTGCGTGTCCCTCCGGGGGACGCGGGCTCGGGGTGGCCCGGCTGCATCGGGGACGTGCTTACCTGCTGCTCTGCCGCTGGGACCCGCGCCTACCCGGCCCGGCCGCCACTCTCCAGCCGTCGCCCTGGCAACTCCGCCGCCAGCTCGGCGTCTCGTGGGGCGGCGCAGCCAATCACGAGACGTGGCGGGCGCGGAGCATTCTGGGAAGAACGCGGGCGCTCTGGGGGCTCGGGAAGCGGGCTCCCCGGGGGCGGGGCAGAGCGAAGTTGTCCGCTGGGGGTCGCGCGCTGCGCGTCCGCGGCTCGGGTTCTGCCGCCGCCGCTTTCCGTTCGCTCTTTTCCAGCGACGCTGCGCCTGGCCCAGTTCCCAGCCTGGGGATGAGCCCGGGCAGGCTCCGGCCCTGACCTCGAGGAGCTCGGTGCAGCACAGGCAAAACGAAACCCCCAAGACATCACCGCACCGTGTCCGCGGAAGGTGGGGTTCGTGATTCCCACTCTCCTGGAGTGACCCAGGACCACCTCAGAGCCAAAGACGTAGCGCAAGATCTGCCCTAAACTCCAGGCAGCAGGGTTCCCCCAACTGCAGCAGTTCCCAGGGATTTTAGAGAAACCTCCCTCCCCCTCCCGCCATGTGAAATTTGGGTTTTTAGAAGTAAAACTGGAGTCCTGGCTGGGTGGCTCGGTTGGGGCGTCATTCTCTACACCAAAGGGTTTTGGATTCGATTTCCGGTCAGGGCACATAGCCAGTTTGGGGTTGGATCGCTGGGTTCGGGGTACATGTGGGAGGCAACAGGTGATATTTCTCTTTCATATAGATGGTTCTCTCTCTAAAATCAATAAACATCTCCAGGGGTGAGCATTTAAAGATAGATAGAAAATAAAACTGGAGTACAAATCCTCTCTTTGCACGTGGTGCTTTTGAACTGAAGTCGCCCAGCTCTGGGCTGGAGGCGGGGGAGGTGGCTAGCGATGGAGAAAATCCTGTTCTTCCAGACACTGAGGCTGTAAGGTGGGAGCCTGGGTCTTCCCATATCCGTGTTTCCATCTCCATGCATTTAAGAAGGTGGAGACAGGGAAGAGGGCATGGAGAAGTTTGGGGAACCTCTTTGAAGCCCTAAGATAATCTCCTCAGCCACCAGCCCTGAAGGAAATGACATCCTATCCAGATAACATGTATTGAAAATAATCTTCCTGTTCATAATAGAAGTTAACATTGATTGTCAACTAACTGTGTGTCTGGGCTTTCCAGACAAAATACAAGACACCCAGTTAAATTTTAATTTCAGATAAGTTTTTAGCATAAGTGTATCCCAAATATTGCCTTGGTTTTGTTGTTGTTGTTGTTGTTTGTTTTGTTTTGTTTTTGCACATACAGGACATAATATTGTCCTGTATTTGTATTAGCTAAGTATGGTGACTCTGTGTGTGCCAAGCATTGTGATAAGTAAATTACACATATTTTTTAAATTCTTTTTTTAAAAATTGATTTTAAAAAGACAGAGGAAGGGGGAAAGAGAGAGAGAGAGAGAGAGAGAGATCAGTTTGTTGTTCCACTTAATGTATGCATTCGTTGGTTGATTCTTATATGTGCCCTGACCCGGGATCAAACTCACAACCTTAGTGTATCCAGACAATGCTCTAACCAACTGAACTACCTGGCCAGGGCAGATTATTTTAATTCTCACACCACATCTATATATATAATGTGGATAATGTTTTCACAACTTTACAGATGAACAGTGTTGCACTTTACCAGAGCCCTGTGCTCATGGAAAACAGTGATGGTTAAAAACCCCTCCACCCCTGTCTGTTCTGGGAAGCGGTTTACCAAAAAGAACTACCTTTCCTTATGTGACTTGGATAAGGCTCACTGCCCACTGAGTGTACTTTACCTATTTAATCTGGTGTGAGTACAAAGAATACTTTTGTCACAAAGGCAAAAACTGCTTAGAGCTGAAGCTTCACCTGGACGCTACCCAAACTGGCTCTGTTCTGTATGTTCCATGAGTTTGGAGCAGTACACTGAACTTGCTGCCTAACCTTCCCAATTCTTAAGACTTGCCAAGCATCCCATTGGCCCTAAGTGGGATGTTCTTGTTTGACCACTCCAGTCTTCCCAAACTGCCAGTGGGCCCAAGATGACTTTCTAAAATGTTTAACTATAAACATTTTGAATATAGGCAAGAGCAGAGAGAATCATTTCATGATCTGCATAAATCCATCACTCAAATTCTAGAATTATCAAGATGTTGCTGGTGGGAAAAATGACACCAAATTCATTCTTGGAATATGCAGGACACTTCAGGGAAGCTAACCAGCCTTGCGCTGGACATCAAAGCCTCTGACTGAGCTCTGCATTCAGGGAGGGACACAGCTGAGTCTTCTGCAGCACAGCCCACTGTAGGCCCCAGCCCTTGAGCTCCTTAGGGGTGGGAAGCCATGCATCTCTGTGGCATGCCACACAGCTCTTGAATGAAGTCATCTTTGCAGCTGTAGCAGGCAGCTAACTGCCTGGCGGCTGTCTCTACTGAAGGACAAAGAGCTGGGATGAAAGCAGAGGAAGAGGGTACAAATCCCCAGAGAGAGGGAGTTGGTAAACAGCAACCTGAGTTGGATGAGAGGGTGACACCACCTAAATTAAGCCCCTATAAGGCTGAGCTGCTCTGACAGACCTGGCAGCCAGCTGGACTGAGTTCCTGCAGGGGGCGTCCAGACCAAGAACATGTCTGTGAGCAAGCACAGGGTCTGGATTTAATCAGCCGGACAAGGAACATAGTGAAATATAAGGCACGAAGCAAAAGATGAACTACTGCAAGATGCTGCTTAAGGGGAAAAAAAAATCCTTCCAGGAAAGTTGTATTTTGGTCACTGCCCAAAACTCGTGATGTGTGGGGGTGCAGACCCATCTGTCTTCCTGGCCCAGAGTCTGCAGTGGAGGTGGGGAATTGAGTGCTGGTGTGTCCCACAGGCTGCTTGATTTCTTGGAAGGAGAGCACACCCTGTTGGGAATACAACCCCCAAGGGAGCTGTCAGTGAGCAGGAACTCTGGGAGGACTGAAAGTGGGGGAGACCAGAATTCCATCTGAGCTTAGAGTGCGGTTCTTCCCTGTCCCAAGGATGTGAGTCACATCACAGCCCCCAGTAGTTCTGTGGTCTGGATGAGATGGACAAAAAGACTCAGGCCTTAAAATGAACTTGCAGAAGAGCAAATCTGGATCCAAGATCATGTCTAAGCAAGTCCACTTCTGCTGGGGCTCTCATCAGGGGTGTTCCCAGACACAGTCACTACAGATTTTTAGTGTGGTGCCTCACTAGTCTCCAAGCAAGTTTAAAAATGCACATTGCAGGGCATGTGAGGTGAGCAAAGAGGGTGGTATGTTGGCCTGAACCAAAGAGTAGATGCTATAGTGATGAATCTGGGTGGTTTCCTGGCAGGTCTACGCACCTTGAGGACAGCAAACATGGCATACACAGAACATCTCGAGTTAGGAGGCTGTATGGGTGAACCCCCTGTGAATGAACTCTCTCTGGCAATCCATATCCTTAAATTTTTTTTTCTTTATTGATTTTTTTTTTTTTTAGAGAGAGAGGAAGGGAGAGGGAGAGATAGAAATATCAATGAAGGAGAACATTGATTGGCCACCTCCTGCATGCCCCCCACTGGGGATTTGCCCCACAACCTGGGCATGTGCCCTGATGGGGAGTTGAACCAGTAACCTCTTGGTGCATGGGTGGACACTGAACCAATGATCTACACCAGCCCATCTAGTGAGAATGCACACCTCAAGGCTACATTTTGTTCATCCACCAAACCCCCAACCCTGCATGGCTGTCCATGTCTTTTGCATGGAATGCTTCAGATGGGATTTCTGCAAACCACGAAGCACGCAGAGGCTTCCTTGTCTGAGCCTGAATGCCAGTCCCACCTGCTTGCCCCATAATCATTTATTGGGTTTCTGGTGAGGCCTTTTTTACCCTTCTCCCCCCCTCCCCCAATAATGAAAGCCCCATGGCTCAGCTGAACCTGAGCCCAAAGCTGAGACAACTCCTTTTGCCCCTAGGATGAAGCCTTTAAGTAACAAACACACGAAACCAAAAGTGAAACTATGGGCGGTGAGGAGAAGTTGGAAGGTCGTTCTGGCCTTTCCAAGCGTGTCCCGGAGCGGCTGCAGCAGCGTCACCTGGGACCTTAGATATGCACATTCTCAGGCCCCGCCCAGAGCTGCCCCATCAGAAAGTCTGGAGGTGGGGCAGCAACCTGGGCGGTTGGGGTGCGCGCCCCTGGTGTGTGACCCGCTGGACTTAAGGTCTGGGGAGAGCTCCGGGAGCCTCTCGGGCCTCAAGGCCAGCGCCGCGGGATAGGTCGGGCTCTGGGCGGGCGCGTCTCCCCCGCGGGGGATAAATCTTTCCGCGGGAGCAGCGGACCGCACCGCGCGAGGAAGCCGCCCAGACGCCAGAGCCTTGGGGACCAGGTGCGGCCGCGGCCGCTCCCCGCAAGAAGGAGCGAGTCCAGGGCCCGCGGGGTTTGCACCCGGTGACCCGAACCTGGGGCGCGGCGCTCCCTGCAGGACCTCCGCCCTGGGAGGAATGGGGTCAGCCGGGGGTCTTGGGTAGAGCCTTAAGGCTTCAGCCATCCCAACGCGACCTGGGCCCTGCCCGGCGAAAATCTCGGTTCCGCCTGGCCCCAGGCGCACCCCGCCTGCCGCCGCGGTCACTTCCAGGAACCCAGACTCTGGCGGTGCCCGCCCCACGGTCAGTGCGAGGACAGGTTCCCAGAAATCACCCGCGCTCTGGAACGGAGACGGTCCCCACCCGGAGGACTGAGCACCACTGTCCCTCCCATCGCGGGCCCCCAGGCCACCTCCACCCCGCCCGACCCTGGGGAGGACGGAAGGAGCAAAAACACTGCAGCTGCCCGGGCAGCACCGCCCAAGCTGCCCTGCGCCTTCCTCCCCGCGAGCCCCCTCCCTTCTGTGGGGCCCCTGCCCTTTTCTTCCCACCCGCCCCAACTCCTCCGGGCGGCCAGGACTCTCCAAACAGCCTGAACTCAAAGGGACTTTGTTGCCTCACATCACGGGGAGTCCGAGGGGAGCCTCCTCAGTCACACAGGGCTGGCAGTGGGACCCTAGC